CTTGTTCAAACCATTTTACAATCAGTACAGAACTAAAATAAACATTCAATGGCTGTTATATGCTCTCCTAGAGAATCTAGCATGTACATACCTCAAGACTGCAGATAAAATGAAGCAGTAAGCATAGAATTAAAATAGCATAAGCATATAACAATCAAAAAAGATGCTAGAATACACTTGGTTAAACAAGTTACCTTGTGTTTTTGCAACAGGCTTTGAGCCACATCCAAGGACTTCCCACAATTGGTGGAATGGGCAATAGGCAGTCGCTCATTAATCCAGTTCAGTTCCATGTCATGATAATGGTAGAACTCATAAAGATCCACTGCAGCTTCCAGCAGCTTACGCCTCTCATTGAGAGGTGCTTGCAAAGACTCAAACCTAAGGGTCATCCATAAATATATGTTAAAACAAAGCTTTAGGCTGATTCTGCCAAGGGAATTATACTACAGTACTACTGTGAAGGTTAGAAAATGGTGGACCTTCTTTGCAATTAAATTTCCATAGTTAGTGGTAGCTGTACAAAGAAGAATCCCTTCTCCAGAAGGCTATTTTTGGCAAATAGACTTATACAATAACAGTAAACATAAGCAGAGGAAAAGAGATTTATATGCTTGAGGCCCTAGGCTTGCCCTGTGATGTTTTAAGGGACTAGTCACTACTGAATGCTGAATCCCTGCACCTCTTAGAAAGCAGTGGATGACCTATGGATAAGCAAAGGACTAGAGAAGCAGTGCAGCAGGCAAGAAGCAAAGTTCAGTAATAAAGTTTGAGGTGGGTCACAGGCAGCTGTGTAGGTGCAGATCAAAGTGTAGCTGTGGTACAACTAGGAGGACAAATCATTCCTAAATATGGGTTAAACCTAATCAATTGAAAGACATTTTCTAGATGGTAGAATGAAAAATGCCATTTGTCACATGGAGTGGAGACAAAAAGAGAGTGACACCTCACCTTTTCAGGTATTTCTGTGTTTCATCCAGAATCCTCTGGGAGTCAAAGTGATTGGTGGCCATTTTCCTTGCATGAGATACAATGGAGTTCATTTTCTCTGCCAGCTCACGTGTCTCATGTTCCAGTTGTCTGTGCTGCTTCAGGAGGTCACGGCTGGAGCGCAAATCGTGGCCTGTCTCAGATTCCTGAAGAACTTTCTCAATTTTCTCTATCTTCTTTTTGGCATCCTGCCAGCAAAAAAAATCATGCCATACTCACACTGACCTTTCAAAACTATTTTCTTCCACTCAGACCCTCCCCGTGACAGCTTCCTGGGCATGATTTTCAAATCCACATGCTGCTTCAGGAGGTCACGGCTGGAGCGCAAATCGTGGCCTGTCTCAGATTCCTGAAGAACTTTCTCAATTTTCTCTATCTTCTTTTTGGCATCCTGCCAGCAAAAAAAATCATGCCATACTCACACTGACCTTTCAAAACTATTTTCTTCCACTCAGCCCCTCCCGTGACAGCTTCCTATACACATTTTAAATCCACATATCCTTTCTTGGTAACACAATGGCCAGGTGTCTCTAAGAGGTATCTCCTGGGAATATTGCTTTTCACACTGTTTTGGACTACTCACTGAGACAATAAAGCACATCATTAAAAACAATCTCTTTGAACAATCTTCCATGACATAGTACAAAACAATCATGTGAGGGGTTGAGACTGTAACTACAACACAACAGCAGCTCCATAACATAGAGATATCAAAACAGCTTCACAGCACGTTGTTCCTCTCACACAATTTGCCTGGGTGAGAAAGTACTGAACACAGTGCCAAGCCTCCAGCCCCCAAACTGACTCTGAGCAAGCAGTTATGTTTGCACAGCATTGACCCATGCGGAGAGTTTTGGTTGTTTTCCCAGTACAGGGTGACCACACAGCTACAGGGCTGAGCCTGAGTTCAACAGCTTTGTGTCTTGCTGCTGTGCTGGCACTCTTATCCTGCTCATAGCTTTGGAGTAAGCTTGGTCAGCACTATATTGGGTTTCCTCTCCTGAGACTGTAGACAGAATGGACACCTTAAAATACACTTTTATCTGGATGGTATTGTGTTCTTTTTTGTGAGGTACACACAGAGAGAAACGTGGCTCCTAGGCTATTCCTCCTCTCTGTTCCCCATCACCCCCTGACCTGGAGCAGTTCCATGAGCTGTTCTTGCTGGCCAGCTTGTCTCAGCTTGTCACCTCGCTCTATCATCTTGCCATACAATTCCTTCCACTTCTTTTGAAGCTCTGACATCTTCTCTTTGATAGAAACTGCAGCATAATGGCGATCTTGAATCAGTTGATTTCCTTTCTGGAGAAACACAGCAAATCATTTTCTTGAGCAGATCAGCAACTGTGAAGTCTGTGACAAGATGGAAGCAAGTTTTGGATGTCTCCAAAACTGTGTTTACCTTTATCAGTGTTGCAAAGTGCTCCTCATTGGCCATCATTTCCTTCTCAGCAGCCTCATGCCACTTCAGTTTGCGCAGAACATTCGTTGGATCGCGATAGGATTCATCTGATGCAATCTTATACTTCTCTTCCATCCATATCAAAAGCTCAGCAGCATCACGATTAAACTCCTTACAGAAACAAACAGGATTAAATTGGTTTAACATCTGATTCTGTGTAGGGTGTAGTGCATTCTTGTTGTTAGGATCAAGCCCTGTTTGTTTGTTTGTTTGTTTTCCTAACAGTTAGGAAATGTGATGTATTTTCATAGAAAAGTTGTTTTATATAATCAACACTCTTAATTGAAGAGGCATGATCGTGAACCTTTGATGAGTTTTTAAAGCTCTCAGAGTAAAATCTCTTAGTCCCTTTTTTACCACATTTACTAATCTGTTGCCTTTAATTGTCAGTGAAGGTGTGCATTTTTGATAGACTATTTTAACCACAGGTGGTCTGATCCTCCAGTATAACTTTGTATCTCAGCACTGGAAGCTAAATTTGATTCCTGAAGTATAGTTACTGTAAGTATCTGTGCCCAATTATTAAAGGCTCAGAAGAATAATAAGTAACGAATAGAATAAAATTATTCAGTAGATAAAATGTTCTTTGGATATTGTTTCATTCAATATCTCCTTTTTACTCTTGGTATTTTGCTGTGGTTATGACTTTATAAGATTTATCAGCAGTGTATCACCTGCTCCCTGGAAAGCAAAGTCCTCTGTCTCATAGCCAAAGAGAAAGTGAGCTGCAGTAGGGATGCTCAGCAGCTTGAGATTCATCCCTTATTAAGACAAAGGGTAAAATGACTTCACACGTGCCTGACCAAGAGTGGTGTTCCTTTACCTGCAGCTGTAGGGAATCCAGCAACCTCTGTCTTCTCTTGGCATTGCTTTGTATCAGCCACTCCCACCTTCGCCGGAGAGTGACCATTCTCTCCTCAATGCTACCAAGAGAAACAGAGAGTTCAGTGCAGCACTGGCCATACCTGTTCCCCTTGGTTGCACTGCACTCATGGCTGTGACATAAATGAATACAGTTCAACACCTCTGTTGGCAGGATGAAGGGACATACGGCCCTGTCCCATCACCATGCTGGGCTCGTAGAATCATAGAATCATTTCAGTTGGAAAAGATGTTAAAGAACATTGACTCCAACCCAGTACTGCCAACCCAACACTAAACCATGTCCCTCAGCACCTCATCTTTTAAATACCTCCAGGGATGGTGGCTCCATCACTTCCATGGGGAGCCTTTTCTACTGCTTAATGACCCTTTCAGTGAAGATCTTTTCTTAATATCCAACCTAAACCTCCCCTGGCACAACTTGAGGCTGTTTCCTCTTGTCCTGTCACTTGGTACTTGGGAGAAGGGACCAATTCTCACCTCACTACAACCTCCAGGTAGTAGTATAGTTACAAGGTCTCCACTGAATCTCTTTTTTCTCCAGGCTAAACCTGTTCTCAGGTTCCCTCAGCCACTCTTCGTAAGACTTGTTCTCTAGACCCTTCATGAGCTTTGTTACCCTTCTTTGGACTCATCTGGAAAGCAGCTATTGTTTGACAGCTGCTCTGGACCTTCCTTTTGTATGACTGTGTTACACTAATGATTTGCTGTCATGTATGTTTGACTAAAACATCCAGACCTTTCTCTTTCCCAAGTATTCCACCTTAACTAATAACTTTCTCTGTGATGTAAGTGCAATGAGGCTATGGAATGGCCCTGTGGTAGTAGTGCTGGCAAAAAAATCAGATATTAAGAGTAGTTTTATAAATTTATGGAGGGAATTTTCAAGACATTACGACTTTTGATCACAAGAACATAGTCTTTTTGAACCAAGAGGTCCATTCTGGAGGGAGGACCAGGGAAGGGAGGACACCCAGAGGGACCTTGACAGGCTTGAGAAATGGGCCAATGCAAACTGCATCAGGTTCAATGAGTCAAAGTGCAAGGTTGTCCACCAGGGTTGGGCCAATCCCAGGCACAGTTACAAACTGGGCACAGAGCTGGTTGAAAGCACCCCTGAAGAGAAGGATTTGGGGGTGCCGAATGATGAGAAGCTCAACATGAGCCAGCTGTGGGCTCGTGCAGCCCAAAGGCCAACCACATCCTGGGGTGCATCAAGGAGTGTGGCCAGCAGATCAAGAGAGGGGATTCTCCCCCTTTACTCTGCTCTTGTGAGACCCCACCTCAAATACTGCATCCAGTTCTGGTGTCCCTACCATAGAAGGGACATAGGTCTGTTGAAACAAGTCCAGAGGAGGGCCACAAAGATGATCCAGGGGCTGGAGCATCTCTGCTATGCAGATAGTCTGAGGGCACTGGGATTGCTCAGCCTGGAGAAGAGAAGACTCCGGGGGAGCCTTATAACTGCCTTCCAATACCCTGAAAGAACCTACAGGAAGGCTGGAGAGGGACTTCTCACAAGAGCGTTCAGTGACAGGACAAGGGGAAATTGTTTTAAACTGAAGGAGAGTAGGTTTAGACTAGATCTCAGGAAGAAGTTCTTCAGTACGAGGGAGGCAAGACTCTGGAGTAATTGCCCAGAGAGGTTGTGGATGCCCCTCCCTGGAGGTGTTTAAGGCCAGGCTGGAGGAGGCCTTGAGCAACCTGGTCTAGCTGAGAGGTGTCCCTGCCCATGGCATGGAGGATGGATTAGATCTCTCTAGGGTCCCTCCCAACATAAGCCATTCTATGATTCTGACCTTCTTTCTAACTTTTGTTTGTGTAGAGGTCCCATTACTAGACTGTAGTGGGTTTAGCAAAGGAAAGGAATTACAGATGACAGTTCAGCTTTGACAAAAACATGAAGGAGATGCTCCTGATGAGTTATTTCCTTGTGAAGTCTTCTCTAGCTTTTTAACAGCAAACATTAATTCTAATGTGATAACAAAAAATGAAGGAAAATCTCTTTTACGTAGGTGTTTAATGAGTTTACATTAAAGAAGTTTTAACACTATGTATAATTTATGATACAAGGCAAATTATTCTAGTGTTCTGTCAAACACCACTTTTAAACTAAAACATTTCACTTATTTATCCTGACAGAACAGGAAATCCATATATTTTTGAAAATCCCTTTTCTCACCCTTATCCAGAAGATCACAGCTTGGAGGTCAACTAAGTCCTGGCTCAGAGAAAATTTTTTACCACACCCTAACCACACTGGATAATTTATCCTGGCTAAATAAAAAAGGAAGGAGTTTGGACTCACACACGAGATGCAAAGTGCCTGCTCTCTATCAGGTTCACCCCGTTTTCATTAAGTGCTTCAACTCTTCTCTTCAGCACCACCAGCAGCTGTTCAAATTCCTGATGCTGCTTCAGCAGGCTTCGAACAGCATCTACATGATCCTGCATTTAAGAAAAAATTTGATCAAGTTTCTTTCTTAGTCATCTGTTGTTTCTGCAGCAATGAAAAAGAAAAATGTTGGACCTTATTTTCCCCCTTCTCTTTCAGGCAGGAGATACTGTGTACATTTGCATGTGCCTAAGGACATTCAGGGCTACAAACAAACAGCAGGTGTTTAGGTTTGCATTGTATCTGGTTCTTCTGGTTTGTATTTCTGTTATGGTTCCATTTTCACCATTTAAGAAAATCTGTACACATCTAGGTACGTGCAATACAAAAGGATGTAAATAAGTAGAACTTTATTCCATCTAGTTGACCCAAAAGTATCAAAGTTTCTCTCAGCTGAAAGCATAAATGAGGGTGAGATATCACAGCCTCCTCCTTCACTCATCTGGTGAATACTGCCTGCATTTGGTTTTTACCCTCATTTGCTTTAATATTCTTAAAATACTGAATGAAAAGAAAAAGCTTCATTTTTTTTAAAAAAAAAAAATCAGGTTTTTACTTCACACACACACACAAAAAGATTAATTATGTTCAAGCCAAAGCCTTTTTTTTTAATGGTTAGCCATCAAACTGATGAGCCAAACCATTGTTTGTATACAAACCATCTGAAATGTACAAACACAGGAACAAATCACAACTCTAGTTGCTTTTAATATTCTTTTTTGAGAGACAATGAGCCTGGTTCTCATAAAGATGACTGACAATAAGAACGTTAATAAGGATCCATGTGTCTAGTTTCCAAGTATTACTATGCCATGACCATAAGAATGACAAAACTGATCTAATTATGAAAATTTTGGCTACTTCCTGGATAGGGAGATGAAGTAGGAGAAGACAAAATCAGCTGCTGTACATACCCCAAGGTCATCCCCCCGGAGAAAGGCCTCGTGGCCAGAGAGGGCTGCATTGATACGGTCTCCTTCCCTGTAGAATTTCTGCAATTTCAGGCCATCCTGCAGCTTTTTCTGTCGCTGTTCCCACAGTTTCTCCAGCTCTTTGTTCTCCACAGCAAGCCTCTCCATGGACTGGTGGACATCTACAGTCCTGCTGTTACTGAGTTGTTCGTGGATCACTTTGCGCCCCAGCTCTTCCAGCTGCACAAATCTTCTCAGAATCAAAAAGAAAAGTGAGACCTCACTGCATGAGGGAATATGCATTCTTTTTCACCACAGCTCTTTGCTCTCTTGGCAATGCACAGACATTAACCGTCCCCCACTCCCTCTCACTTTTTTTCCAGCTGGCCATCACTGTGAACCACAAGTGGAGCTGGTTGTGTGCTGAGGGATCCATGCTGGAGGCACTAGGTCTCCCCATTTGGACTAAAAGCCCATATAAGCAGGCTTTCCCATTAAAAGGGAGAGTGTCTGGAACTTCATAACCATGCAGAAGGAGAATTGAAGATGATGGCAGCAGGAAGCATAAGGCCTGAGAGGGGAAGGACTGGAGGAACTGAATTAAAGTGCAGATGACGCTATCTGAGTGCGAGGACAGGTTGTGGAATGCCACTCCAAACATACAGCACCTTCTTCCCCCTCCATCAGCCATCAGGATAAGTATGAAAAAGCTAATTGGATTTTGTGTTCCACTGTCTCCTTCTGACACTAGCTCCAAGAGCATTTGAATAAAGTTTCAGCATCACTTTCATACATAATTTATGCACACGATAGAGTTTTCATCTTCACAGTACTGTTGTCATATCACCCCAGTCTGCCCACCCTGACCTCATCTTCCTACCTTTCTTTCTGAGCTCTAATTTCTTTCAGCAGGTCCTGATGTTCCTTCAGCAGTTGTTCTGCAGAAGCCACATCCACACCCATTTCCTCACTGCTCAGTTTCTCCCGAATGCTTTCTGCCCACAGCAGGAGCCTGCGGCTGTCTTGCAGGAAGGACTGTTGATTTTGGGCCCTTTGCAGAATGTCCTGCTTCTTTTGGGTCTCCAGCTTAAGCTTTGCCAGAAGCCTCTCCATGTTCTCCACCTGCTCAGTGATGGCCCTGCTCTCTGCAGGGTTAGTGTCCCTAATCCTACAAGAGGAAACAAAATACCTTCAATTAGATTAACTTTTCAGGCATTTAGAGCTTGAACCAATACTCTTTAAAATGAATGGATTTAGGTAGTTGCACTTCCATTAAAAAGAAAGTCAATGAAGGCAACAAATGCTCCACACTAGCAAGAGATACTGGTGTGGATATCGTGTACTGCAGAAAGTGGATCCTTTTGAAAGACACTGGTAAACACTGTTGGGGTTCAATGGTTCATTCCCCATTGTGAATGTACAGAAAACTTAAAGCAGCAATAAACTTTAAATGCATGTCTCAAATTCAAACTGCTGTGCACAATTCTCTGCTATCTTTCATCCTTGTTTAACTCAATTACCTTCTTTCAGGACCTCAATGATACCTAGTTCAAAACATGGAAGTAGCTCCCATCAGTAGAGATAATCTGTTAAAGCTACAAACAATTCTGTGCTATTTATCCTCCTGTAATAGTGGAGTCTGGGAGCAATCACTTCACCAATCACCCAGCCATACTCAAGAGAGATGATCATAATCCAGCAAGCAAGTCAGCTCTTCAGGTGGCTAAAAAGAGAAACTTCAAGAGAAACTTCTGAAACTGCTCATTCTTTTCATAGCCATAATTTACAACACGATCTTAGAGAGCTGGTGAGGAATGTGGAAACAAAGTGCAGGTTCCTTACGATATTGCAACGCTCCTCAAGTATTCAATTCTCCTCTCTATCAGCAGGACCTCTCTCTCAACTGCAGACAGTTTGCGCTTGTCCGACTCCAGCCCAGCAGGTGAGTTCCCTGGTTCCAGATCCCTGAGCTGCAACATCTTGTCTTGCAGTAGTACTCCTATGCTCTGACAGTCCTGCAGAAATGTCCTCACGTCAGCCACTCCAATCAGCTCAGAGCCCTTCTCTTCCTTCAGGGTTTCCATGAGTTCCCACCTTGGAGAGAGAGAACCCGATTAGCAAAAGGACCCTGCTCAGGTGACCAGAACACACTGGGCATGATGCCAATAAACAACAGTGGCCCAAATCAGGACCCATATTGTGTCTCTCAGTTCCAGCTGGGTGCCATGGTGCAAGGAGCACGTACACATCGGGTAGTAAATGTACATGATGAAGTCCAAGAGGATCTGATGCTCCTTTCCATACTGGTGAAGGGCACCCTCACCCTGCTGTTTAACCAAATCAGCTGCTGCAGTGCAAAACAGACAGAACTGCTCTGAATCCATCACTGTTACTTGTGGGTGGATTCATGTTGTGCTTTAGCACACACACACAAATTGCTGCAGTTTGAATACCTCAGTGTCAGCGGCTTAGAAGCACCCTCCAGCCCTGGAGGCAAGAAACTGGGGTCAGGGCCAGCCAACAGCCAGTGTGGCTGAGGCCCTTTCCCATGGGTGACAGTGGGGACAGGCTGCCTGGCAGCTCTGAGGATTGGGACTCACCTCTGGCCCTGGCTGCCATCCCATGCCTGCCCTGTTCACCTCCCTGTGGGACTGGCCTGGCATACTGAGTTCCTTCTCCCCATCCCAAAGCCAGCAGCCAGCCCTTGCTGCCTGTGGACCTTCACCACAAACTAGCATGGCCATGGGGACTACAGGCTGCCCCTGTCACCTGCCCTGCTCCCTGGTTGGGGTACCTGAATACAGCAAAACTGGAAACCACTTGAAAAACAACCCTCAGGCCACCTCTGGGAGTTCCAAATCTACCAGACAGGTATTCTCTGTGTAGTCTAGATTGGGTGTGTAAGGTCAAGCTCTCCAATTGCCTCCATGAGACAATCATTTTACCAGTAGCACCTTTACCTGCTGTTGATCTCCTCCAGCCAAATTTGAATCTTAGAATATTTGCTGGGACTGCTCTTTCCATATTTAACAGCTAAGTGTTCAATATCTCCCAGGTGGCCTTTGCCTGCAGCCAGTTCCATTAAAAAGCTCTAAACCAGGAAAGATAAAAGAAAGCAGAACTTGAGGTTTTTTCATGTTTATGGATTCTCAATAATTAATCATATCTACTCATCTCCCACTTTCACAGGTGGTTTCTCCACTTACCTGTCTGCTGGCACCATACACACTTGTGCTTGTAGTTCCCCTATAGCCCTGCTGACCCCCCAGTGTGTCCACCACACCTATGCATGTATGTCCCAGTCCACTGGGCTGCAAATGCACTGCAGGGTTTTTTCATCATCTGTTGTTTTCTTCAAGTGTCATAAGATAAGCCACAAAAAGAATCCTTTTGTACCATCAAATTTGTACAGGATACCACATCCACAGAAGTTAAATGGACAAAATGATGTCAGGTTTGATAAGCTTGGCATAGTTTATACAAAAGAAATAACTGACACATGCCCAACTCCATAAGCTGAAATGAATGAACAACTCTCAAAACTTCATTTCTCAACTTTATCTATTCTCCCAAGGTCAATCTGATTTTGAAAGTGTGATCTTTGAGCAGGGAAAAAGGATACCTGATATTTCTGCTGCATAACCTCCACGTTGTCTGCTTGAGGCTGAAGAGTCCGGAAGATGTTCTCTTTCTCTTTCATCCATGACTGAAATTCTTCACAGGAGCTACAGAAGCGGTAATACCCAATCATCTCCTCCAGAGCCTTTCTTCTCTCCTATAAAACAGATGAAGACTTAAGTACTGCTGTAATCACTCCTTGCCATTTGAAGGGAAAAAAAAACAAACTAAAAAAATCCTTGTATCTAAACTACAACACACTGACTTAATAGTTTTGTCAGACACTTTTGAAAGACAACAGAACATATTACCTTAATATCACAATAATTCTTTCCACAGCAACAGTGCTTTAAAAGCTGTGCTCCTTGCAGATGCTGATGGAAGATTTACCTCATTGATCTCAGGATTATATGAAAGTCCCACACAATATGCTTTTGTTTGGTCTTTAGGGCAAGATGGGAGTGAAAAGTAATAGGTGGAGAATGCAGATTATTTTTGTTTTTTTCTGGTATCAGGTAAGACAGCCCAAAGATTTAGGAGCTGTAGTAAGCAAACATTAAAGAAAAAAAAAAATATACAAAAGAATCCACTCTTCATAAAGAAAAAAAAATAGAAGGCAAACAGGAAGTTTGCCAATATACTTTGTTTTGATACAAAACTTCAACAGTAATCTCAAGCCCTGAAGTTCTACAGGACTTCACAGGATCAAGGCATGTAATTAAAGTGAAAAGCAGAAGACATCACAGCACTTAACCTCATTTAGCATTACTTTGGACTTGACTATTTTCATGAACTGCAAAGCACTGGAGGAGATACTGAACCTCAGCCATGCTCTGTAGATTTTCATAAAGTGAATCTATTTCATCTTGGGCCTTCCAGATGTTCTCTGGAAGAAAATGAACATCTGGACTGGAGTTTCCAGAGGATGCATTTTCAAATGTTGGCCGGGTTCGACGGAATGATAGCTTAGTTGTCTTCTGATTGATGCCACTTGGAGTTTCCATCTTCACCATCTGTTAAGCAAAATTTAACAGAATCAATGGATGAATATTTCTGATTTGGATAAAGATTTGACATGGAAGGAAAATTTGGACTTGCTAGTTCAAATCATAATATTCTGACCCTTCAAACAAAACATATCCAGTATTTGTTCAGATCTGTTTCCTTTGTTTTATTCTGAGGGAATGAAATAATAACTGAAAAAAATTTTTGTTTATAGAAGTTTAATTTAGTTCATTTTAAAGTATATTGATTCAGCAAAAATTCTCATTTTCTGCCTACCTCAAGGCTGAATTTTGTTTGTTTGTTTTATAATTTTTAAAATTGCCAAGAAACCAAGGAACCACTATGCTCACAGTTCTGTTTATGGTGATGTTTTAGTACCTGAACATTTCCTATTTCAAAGCCTGTGAGTACCCTAGTAAATAAATGCTTTTATTCACACGTTGATAACATCTTGTCACATGCTTTTTCGTGTTTAATAACAAGGCAATTGTAATTTTATTCTCATAAAAACTCATGTTGGAATCATGAGGTAAAGGAAAGGCCCAAAGTGGTGCTTGTAGTTGTCAGACAGGTTTGGCTGACATTAGGTGGGCTATGAGTGGCCAACGCCATCCTTTGTCACCTAAAAAACTTGCCTCAATCCTAATAAAAAATTTACTCCAAATCAAAAGAATGCTTTTGTTTAGGTCATGCGGAATACTCTATTCTGTAAAAATCAAAATACTTTGGATCATTTAAAACCTTTTCATTTACATTCTTCAACAAAACATGGCACAACCCCTCATCTACTTACTGCAGCTGGAGCCTGCCCTGCTGCAATGTCAGCCTGCTCTTTGAGGCGCCTCATCTCGGAGGAGTAGGCTGCAATCTCCTTCTCCAGGCGCAAGTGACGGTGCAACAGCGCCTCGGCGCTCGACTCGTCCTTCCCATAGTCCTTGCTGGCCAGAAGAGGTTGTATTTCTTGCAACCATGAGTTTGCTTCATCGATGTCAGCAAAGTACTGAAGGAACACAGGGAAGAAAACACTTAGTTTCATCCTAAAAGTACCATATCCAGCTCATTCCTCTTTGGAAAATTATGAATAAGGAGAAATGCCGTTAGGTTTGTAGCTATAAGATTGCTTCCAAACTGATGATGTGTCTCATGATCAAACACAGACAATTCACAGAATCACAGTTCAGAATTCAAGGGTTGCCTGGATAACTCTTTAAAAACTCCTAACCAACTAAAACTTTGTGGTGCTGAACAGAAACAGTAAAAGGAACCCATAATGGAAGATGCTTGTAGGCACCATGTAATTCCGACATGTATTTCCTAAAGGTTCTAAGAAATAGTCCAACAACAAACAAGGAACAGTCTACAACAAAAGCTTTCTTCTTTTTTTTTTTTCCAGAACTTGCAGTTTGCCTGGCTATGGAAAAAAGAAAAACGAGATTTTGAGATACAGAGTAAAGTTACAATAGGAAAGAAAAACCCAGCCCATAGTAGTGAAGGAAAAAGAAAGAAGATCTAAAATACCATAATGATGTTAAACTTACCAGAGAGAAGAGAGAATGTAGACTTTATTCAAGAACAAAGCTGTTAAGTTTTGTTCAAGTGTTTCATGTGAACAACAGTCTGAGAAAAAAACTTATGAAGGGCAGAATAATAATACCTGAGGTAATGTCATGGGATTTCTGAATGCTGCTTTTATAAGAGCTCTTTGTTTGCACGTGTGAACATTTGTAGATATAGCAGTATAGATCAGAATGTCAAGGTCAAAGATTTCTCAGGCTTTGGGAAGTTCATGGTCAATCCAAGTCTTAGGGCATGTTTTATTTTTTTTTGTTTTGTTTTTTTGCTTTTTGGGGTTTTTTTTGTGTGTTTTTTTTGTTTGTTTGTGGTTTTTTTGTTTGTGTTTTTTTTTTTTTGTTTTTTTTTTTGGTTTGAGTTAATTTTGTGTGTTTGTGTTTTTTGGGTTTGGTTGTTTTTTGTTGTTTTTTCATGTTAGAAAAATGTTGCACAGCTACCCAGATCCCACCTTCAAAAAAGACTCTGCATCAGCACTGTTATGTGAGCTACTTCCATTAGTATTTTGAACTTAGAGCAGCTCCCAGCTGCTCAAATGTGCTGCCTGGTTGGCTTGCAGGAGGATTGGGACTTAGCTACTGGAGATCTTTATGAAGACTGACACAAAGGCTTCCTGCCACTGTTGCCCTGTATGTGGGGCCATGGGGCAGAACAGAACCACACCCATGTCCACACACCACAACAGATCCCGTTACCTGTTTGATGAGAGCTGCTGCCTGTAGGCGGCTTTTGCGATCAGCCACCTCTTCCTGGAGCTGCTGCCACAACATCTGAAGGTTGTCTGTCTGCCTCAGAATGTCCTCTTGGTGAACAGGGTTCTTCTGGCTCAGCTCCAAGCCCCTCCTCATCACATCTGCACATACGGCCCTATGGGAATTGCACTCTGCTTCGAGAGCCTAGCAGAAGGATGGGAGACACGTCAGCACCCTCACTCCCCAGGAGCTGTGAGAAAAGGTGGGGGTCCTGTTCTCTGCTCCTGTAATCCACGTGTTTCCAAGAGCCCTGGGTCTTATCTGTGCTTGTGACTTTTCCCTGAGTCCTGACATAATTGCCCCTTGGCTCCACACTCATAAGTTTTTGTCCTACTTTTTGCCTTTGATGTGAAGCTTGTTATGCAGCCTTCTCTGAAGGAGATGTTTGTTTGTTGTCCACTAATTTGGTTGTCTTACGCTTTCCAGAAGCAACAAATAGATGCATGCAACTGTGTATTAAAACTACAGAAAGGCTCCTGTTTCAGATTTATCATACAAGTTCTCAAGTCCACAGGTCTCTTCACTTGTTCACAGTGATTCTTTGCCCTAAGAAAGCAGTAGCTCGTGTAGCTGATTCTTTTATGTTAGTCCACAACAAGCTCTTAGGGAAAGTGGTAATGGATTTGTAAGCTCACAGAATGTTATCCATCCTATTTCCTGATATCTGTCTTCTTTTCACTACCTCTTTCTTTCCCCACATGTCTCTTGGCCAGGCAAGGTGAGTGGGAAAACAAGAACTAGCATACTTTTTTCCCCTCCCAGCCAATGTGAGCTAATACGGAGCCCAGGGTCTTCACTGGAAGCCACATGTATAGTCCAGGATGAAGAATATTCCTTCTCTACACTTTCTTTCCACTCTTGGGGAAAAATTCCTACCCTATAAACTTTTTTAAAAAAATTCCAAGCATTGGTCACAGCACTTGAAATCATGAGTGGCTTGACAGCTTTCTTACAAGTTCTGCACTGACTGAAGGACATAAAATCTTGCCATAATACAAAGACAAGGCACCATCAGCCAAATGAGATACCTTGTTTTTCTGAATAGAGGCCATAATCTGGCTGACATCCTTCCCTAATGTTGTTGTTCTTGCTAGCTTCCATTTCTCAGAGATCCACGATTCTTCCTCTTTGCAGTCCCGGAAGAATTCAAAAAGCTTCAAAGCCTCTTCTAGCTGATTTTTTCTGAAACACAGAAACAAACCGTAGACCTCAGTCAGAAATAGGATCCCATGGAGACAATGGCAGCATAAACAAAGAAGAGTTTGGAAAATTCAGAATTTGAATGCTTTTAATTCTTCTTTGTCATAGATTAATTTATTCATGGAAGAAGAAAAAGGAAATAAATTTACATTTCCCTCTTCCTCTAGGAGATAACCACATGCTATTCAGACTCCACATAAAGCAAGTCATAATAAATACTGAGGATGAAGCTGTTCTTCAGCCATGAAAATGAGTGATCTCTTTTAGTCAACTGCAATCAAGACACTCAAGTTGCTTGTGTTCCATCTTTACAAATGGAGAAATGAAAAAAATGCTGGGAAGCTGTGTCTTCTGATTGCAGGAGTGGTTGGCCACTCTAGTCAGGCAGAAGAGAGCCATAAGCACAGTCCTACCGTGACTTGCTCAGAGCTGTAAGGTTCTGATACAGCTGACGAAGCATCTGAACTTTGGCATAAAGCACTTCTGGTTTAGCTGTGCTGTCCTTGCTGATCTCTGCTGTCCTCTGGGTGATGTGTGTCAGTCTGTCACCATAGGAAGAGATCTGCGAGTCAACCAAGTTGTGCTTCTGCAGCAAATCTACTACTTCCAGGAGCTGCTTCCCACAGTCCTGGGAATTCACTAGCACCTGCAAACAAAGGCAGAAAACAAAAGGCATTGGCAGGGAGTGCATCCAGGGGCTCAGTACCAAGAAGTTAGTTGAAAGGTTCCTGTTGGCTCTCATAGCTTCTGAATGTAAAAGAATGCTGTGAGCTGGGTAAAGCTGAAAAGCTGCTTAATTAGAGGAGCCATGCTTTTCTTTCAGTTTCACAAGCTAATGACAACAATCCAGAATTTCTATCTACTGCAGCACAAGTAATGGTCTCTTCAAACAAGCATCTATTTTCACACCTAAGATGTTTCTATTGCTTAAGCACTCAAGGTCTCAGAATTCATGGGCGTGAGGAAAAGCCCTTTGCTATATGTGCATCTGTAGGCAGATTGATTCACAGTCTGTGTTTGGAGAATTCTGGAATGCCTCATTTTATGGTGTGTTTTGACTGCAATGTTTTTTTTTGTTTAAAGAATTTGCCTTTGCTATTTAAATAATGAAATTAAGTACTTCATGGTATTTAACTGGTGGCTGATGAAGGTACAAGTGCTTAAAAGTCTGTCCTCTTTAACTCTGTCAATGGACACAATTATCAATCCTACTGTAGGATGTCATCTTTCCTTACCAATCTTCTCCAATATCCTCAAGCTATCATGGTTCCAACAACGTCATTACCTTTAGGTGTTCTTTACTTACTAAACAGGACAGAAATATTAATAACTTACAGATAGCTCTTATCTTCAACTAGAAATTCACAACTTCATATAGCATGTTGACTCTTTCAACTTAAGTACGAGGCAACCCGTAGTCAGAAGGATTTTTCTGTCTTTAAAGAGGACAAGGCAAGACCAAAGGGTGTATATATGCTTCCTATCATTACAAAATCAATATGAAACCAATTATTTCCTATGCTGAAGAGAACTGGGGCTCTGACTCTCTAGTAACACTTGGAAATTCTTGCTAAAGGCCATCACTGTGCATTTACAGTGGAACATCTCTCACAAGTAAATACTTGAAAGTCAGACACATGAGCTAATCCCCTCCTGTGTGATCACTGGAGGTACTTCCAGAAGGTAATTCAGAAAAATGACATGGAATTTGAATAGTAGGCTTGTTTACTCCACTTTTGCTTTCACACTTCTAAATTTGTGAGATTATAACCCATCTTTATTCCACCACATTGCTTGAACCTGTACTGCGCTCACTGTAATACTACATCTGGTTTTCTGATTAGGGAGAGCCCCTTGTAGCAAAGCCACTTTTTTCTTAGTTACCTGCAATGATGAACTGAAATGCCCAGTTAGGCATCTAAGTAAAAATGCTGTATTTTTTCTATAGCTCCTACTTATCTTTGCACCAGACAGCCCCTGAAACACGAGGGTATTTTTAGGGACACACACGGGTAGCAGTGCAGGCTGTGTGCCAGTGGAGAGGGTTCAGTACCTGCAGCTCTTTCAGCTCTTCTGTGATGGCATCAACATCCCTCAGCAGGCCCAGAATCTCCTGCATGGTACCCAGGGAGCGTTGTCGTCTCTGCAGCTGATCCAGAAGATCCTGCCATTGGTTTGAAATGCTCTTTTGCCTACAAAGGAAGGGATAGAAATGACCAATTTGGACTTTGAGCAGTGCTGGGGTATTCCCAGTGCTTGAAGCTTTGAAGGACCTAAATGAACACATATAACTTTTGCCACCTGTACAAGTTCATGACCAAAGAATGGGTCAAAGCAATGTTATCTAATTAATGTGATCACAGAGAGGAATTTTGAGGAGCATATCAACAGTCACTGACTTTTTAAAATTTAGACATTGTTTTTCATGGATCTTCACACCTGACATCTCACATTGCTTTCATTTGATACAATGGAGAGGCCTGCAAACAAAGAAGTGGTCTGCAAATAGCTACTTAAAGTAAAAAATTAATCTAAAATGTATCATGAGTCACAGTCTGATCTCATTAAAAAAAAAAAAAAGTTTGATTTACTCTTTTATAATTTTTTTTCTTAGTTTTCCCACAAGTTCTGTTTTTTTCTGAACTTTGGAATTGAAATACCACAAAAGAAGTTATTTGTATAGTGTTCTTATTCCTTCCCAATTATAGGCTAGGTTGATAATCAGAGAAGTCATAATCTCTTAATATTTGCTCCAAACTGGATCCTAGCTGAGAAGACTTTGTGTCTTAATTAAATCTTTAACTTTCTAAACTACACTCTGAAAAAGTAATGTGTTGATTCAGAAACAAAACAAAACAAAATAAACAAACAAACAACAACAACAAAACCCCAGTATCCCTATGAACATTTTTGATAGAAAATAGAATTTTTGGCAGAACAAATATTTTCATATATAATGAAAATATCTTAAAACTATTTTTTACCAGAAATTAGTCTGAGGGTTTGATCATTCAAAACAAATTAGTTTTAAAGGGCAAGCATTTGTCTTATCTGATGAGAGCATTCACAGGTAGAAGAAATTCCTGTTTTTTTTGCTGGTTCTACTCATGAGGAGCAGAGCTGTGACTCATAGAGACAATTAATTTTCTTCCATCACACCACAGAATTTCAACCTCCTCTGCTAGACAGCCTCACAACCCTCACTCACTTCTTCACAATTTGGTCTTTGCCATGATAGTTCTCCTGGCTGATGACTGTGGCCATTTCATCCAAAGCTGTGAAGCGTTCCCTCCTGGGGAGCACATCTGCCACAATGGCTTCCAGCTTCTTGTTGGCAGCCTCCATCCTGTCTGCGCTCTCTGGCCAGAAGTCCTGCTTCCCTATCACCTTCCTCATGTCTTCCAGGTAGGACTCACGCAGGGCTGCCTTCTTCAGGAACCTCTGGGCCAGCTGTTCCAGCTTTTCTAGCCTCAGCATCTCCTTCTGCAGTGCTTTTCCCCGGTTGTGCTCTGCCTTTTCCAGGGTAATCCAGTGCTTTTCCACATCCTGCAGTGTCCTCCCTTCTGGGGGCAAGTACGGCCGTTGGTTGTTGGCTCTCTGCTTGGTCCTGATGCTGAAGAGATGAGCTTCAATCATGCCTTTCTCTTGATATTTGAAGGGTTTCTCCCCGGTGCGGAAGGTCTTGAAGTTGGCCATGAGCAGCCACATTTCCTGAAGAGAGTTGGGGAACTGACGGTCATCCAGTTCCACCACCTTCTGTTTAATCCATTTCAGGAGGTCAGAGACCATCTGCTCATAGAGAAGCTTCAAGTCATCTATCTCCTTCAGGAAGAACACGATCTGTGATGGGAAGGTGAAGTTAAAAGCCACATAAGAAAGAGAATGAAGCAAGGTGGGTGAACAGGAAACATCTTCATAAACCAAGCTTAGGATTCAGACAGTTCAATATATGCCAGGAAAATTGTATTTAACCAGCAAGTTGCCATAATCATCACTTTTTTTTTTTATATCAATGTGATGATAGCTGCCACATCTGAGGCCAGGTGAAATCCTAGAATAACCTTCCACAAAACACAGATAAAAAAAATATTACTTAATGTTTCATTTCAGTTTTTGTTTAAGAAAAGGTTAATTTTGGAAGAAAAGTATGGATGTGGAGACTGTCAGCTGTTCCTATGTGGACGGATTAGAAAGCAAGAATCCCAAAATGAGGGTTCATATTTTTTGTTTCACAATGGAATTTTTTTTGTTTTGTTCCTTCCCAAAACCAAAATGATTCTACCCCATCTAATATGCAATTACATTCTCTTAGCTTCACCACCTTAGGCTGTTAGGAGACTATCTGACAAGATCCTGGTTCTCCTACATGCCCACACCAGACTGTGGTCAAACTGCCCCTTCTCAATCTCCTCTGTTGGAGCTGTTTCTCTTTATATAAATTATTAGAGAATGTCTCATGGCCAAGCAGGGTTTTGGTAAGGATGTCAGCTCTGGTTCATTTTCCAAGTCCAGGACATTTATCTGTGTCATTTGTGGTCTTTATTTCAAGTTCAGGTAAACAATGGAGCAAACATTTAGAATTAAATCCCTAAAGAACTAAAACCTGGTAGAAGGAAATCATCCTTTCTTTGCATTTTACATTTTCCCATCTTTGTATTTTTCATTTATAATACATTTTTTCCTTGTCCTAACTTAGTAGCCCACCTGCAGACATCAGGTTTAATGCTGAACAACGTTGTCTGCCTCTGTCATTCCCCTGAGCCTGCCTGCTCCAGCCAGACAGATTAAGGGACCAAGCAAAGACCCAGTCCCTGCAAGTGGTAATCTGCTTTTACCTACCAGAAAGTGCACTTGGCAACGAATAAGTGCCACATTGTTGGAAGAGGAGTAAAACAGCACCAACCTTCAGTGCAGGAAAAGCAGCCCATGACATCAGGGCTCCCTTCTGTTTTTTCTGCCATCGTACCCAGTTCTCGCTGAAAGATCCTAGCAAGTGCATGGTCACCTCTCACAGGAGGGGGAAGGGAGATTTACCTCCCCGAGCTGATTCTCTCTGCCATCCTGGTCACACACTTAGTCTGAACTCAGAGGCTGCCTTGACACATTCAGGCTTCCCTCCCCAATCCTATTAGTGAACTTGGAGCTGCCTATTTGAGGGGACTAAGGCCATGAAGAGATTAGCATCTGTTTCACTCTCCTGAATGTTTGTAGGTGCCAGAAATGCAGGAAGGTGCAATATTAGAGACAGGCTAAAAATAAGGTAAAGAGAGAAAAAGAAGCAGCTAACTGGAAAGAGAGAGAAAAGAAGGAATAAACATATCTATGCAAAATGGAAAAAAAAAAAAACAGTGGAGCACAAGAACTGGAAAAGGACAAAGTAAGAAATATTCTTTCTGTTTTTTTTCTCCTAATACAGAAGCTACAGCCCATTTGATCCTTATGGTTCCTCTAATAAATATTTAGCAACTCAAGGACTATTTTGGGTTTATGAGAAGAAAAAATGTCGTCTCCTGGTCAAAATCCAGACACTCACATCCAGACCAGTCAAATCTTCCCACCCACTTTCCTCACCGGTGCCAATCTTTGCTTGACAAAATTCCAAGTCCTGCTCTCATCTAATGCTTCTCTTCAGATGACATCACTGTTACTGAGACACGTTTCAGGATCATCTTGTCCTTGTCCCAGACCACTTTGTTAGCTGAGCAAACCCTGCTTTGCAAAAGCTTTTTACCTTGTCACCACCAAGTGAAGTGGTTGAAGCCTTAGTCTGGATTTATGTGCCTCCTATTAAGCAATATATTCCCCCTCTCAGGTACACAGGCAGTTCTACTAGTCCAAATGTTCATGTAGGACCCACCCTGGTTGTGTGGGTTTTCTGCAGGCTATTTGGTTTATACCCTTGACAAAACCAGAACAGATTACTCTGAAGGTGGAAAACAAGTTCTAAGGAAAGTGGTCTTCAGTGGAACAGTTACAAAATTCTTTCAGTTTTCCATCAACAGGGCACAATTAGTTTATGATATAAATTCTGATCATATGTGATACAAAATCTATGTGGAAATTGAAAAAAAAAAATTGTTTTAGCTTTGGAGATTCCTCCCCCCAGGGGTGTTTCCCCTTCTTTTGCACTCTCATTTTTCATGTCTTTTTTTTTTATTATTTTTTATTTTGCATTTTGTACCTAAGGAGTTAGAAATAAAGGATGAGGATTTTCACATGAAATAAAAAAGTGAGATAAATGCAAGCCCCTTTAAAGATCAGAGAGTCTACAGACACTTCTCAAGAAGTGAGATCATGCATTTAACTTCTGCCTTCTGAAGACAGCAAAGAACTTACTTTGGCAAGTCGCTTTTGGATTGTCTGGCCTTGCTTCAGTCTGGAGAAGTAGTGGTAATAGAGGGACACATAAGTCATGATGGATCTCTCATCTGGGTAGGGGACTGCCACATCCTCAGCATCAAGCAGTCTGCTGATTCCCAGCTCTTTCTCAGCAACGTTGAAGGCATTGTTCAGGTTTTTGATGGGCTGGTCCTGCCGCAGTGAGCTATAGTGGATAAGATCAGGCCTGGGAAGGAGAACAACAGGGCGTGGAGGGGAGGAAAGATTTGTGTTTGTTATAAGTTCTTTCAGATTATAAACCATAAACTTTATTAGACAAAGGAATGTGACATTAACTCTGAAATTATTCTATCTCACCCTGAGCTTCATCCAAGAGCATCACCCCTTGCCTACATAACAGGAAGAATATTGTCCCTTATCAAACTGAAGTAGCACACCCAGCAGATCTCTGCCCTTCACTTATTTCTCCTCTTTCCTGATGGGTGAAAACCAAGAGAAGCAATTCTGAAAAGGGAGGTGACTCCCAACTGGGGAAGCTACAGGATCCTACCATAGTATCCTGCAGAAGATGTGAAAGGACTACTAATGGGAGAAGAGATGTTCAAGGTTATTCTCAGGTGTTTTCTCTCTCCTGTTTTGGGCTTTTTTCTTCACACTTTTTCAGGGGGTCAGAGAAAGAAGAAAGAAAGGGACTGGGAGGTTGCTTACTCTATTACAATTGAACGTGAAGGTATACATGCTCACAAAGTTCATACAATAAAACCAGCCTGCACTGATACCCTTGTGTGTCCCAAAAATAGTAACTTTTGAAAAAGAGCAATGGGAACATGACTGAGGAGCTAAGACCACATAATAGGCACCATTGTTCAGATGTGTGATTTTCCTTGGAAATTTATTTTTATGCCCAACCAAAGGAACTACCAAGCAGGAGGCTTTGGTCCCTCCTTCCTTAGAGAGAAAGTATCTACTTAAGCAACTATAGGCTTCAGTGAGAAAGAACAAATAGAATTTGAGAGTTTCTTGACAAATACTTGTAATTTAGACCCCAGAACAACTTGTGCCAGAGCTAGAGACAAGAATGAACAACTCCTCCTGAACTGATCCATCAGATCTTACCTGTGAGCGTGTATGAGGGCATTGAAGGCCAGCCCATCACTCCAGCTTTTGGAGAAGTCCTTCACATTCACATTGGAATAGCTGGCAGTTTTATGCTGGCACCAGAGGAGTAAGGCTTCATTGGCAAATAGAACATCAGCTCTGCCTCCAAACTCTTCCTGTGAAGAGAGCAGAGAAATGAAAAATCCATGTGAACAATATATGGAAGTAACATCAGTGGGTTTACACTTCTATTTCCAAAGATCACTTTGTATTACTGCTGACCTATTCACAAATGCCCTCAAAGACTTGCAGAATGTATCTGCCAGGCAGGTAGAATGCACAAAAGTCATTTTCTATTAAAGTAAAAGTAAATTCAATGAACTCGGAGCTTCTAACATGAAATGCAGGTGTTAAAAGGCTTTAAAATGTTTCTCTTCTGCAAGGTCTGTAGAAATCAAGTAGAAAGCAAAGCTCAGTTTATTTGCTTCCTTAGCTGTGAACTAAAATTCAGAAACAAAATACAATGCATCCAGGTCTAATATTAGAAAATATTAACTTTGATTTCATAATATCTTCATAGGACCTTATCTTTCATGTACTTAGAGTAAAAGTTAAATAATTTAAAAAGAATATTTTTTCTTCAGAGAAAGAGCAAAGGAGCAGCATGCAGTTCAAATCTAGGGAGAATTGTTGACAGAGAAATTCTTTAGGAAGTCAAAAGCCAGTAAAAAGTTTATGGAAGAGAGTGAGGAACACAAATATCCTGTTTATCTCCAAGTTACTGTTTTCTGTCTCCTTGAGAAACTATAAAATGGATTCAATAGTTTTTTGAAAATTCTGGCTGAGCAACTGGGTAATGTTATAAGATCTGCATGATTAAAATGGTTGGCAAACTGCATCAAAATAGTCCTTGCCAGCATGAAACTCTACAAAGTCTCTGACTAGTCAGGCAAAAAGACAAAAACACTGTTTTACCTTATCAAGTTTGATAGATGAAATCTGAAATCGAAGTATAATGATCCAGATAAGTCCCAGGATTAAGGTTCTATCACCATCTACAATATTCTCAGGACCAATCACTTTTACCTGTACCTGCTAATAAACCAATATCCATTCAGCATAAAAGTACTCGTTTGCAGCAATCTGAAGAAGGCATCTCTGTGAAACAAGCTGTTATTGAAGAGAGTGTTCAGGCTGTTTTCTTAAAGGAAGGTAGCTTTACATGATCTCTTCATTTCTCTATACACCTGTGAGCTCCCACATTCACCCCCAAGCTCTCATGTGCACCAAGGAGGAGTTTCAGCACAAGCCTGGCAAAGGGACAGTGCTCTCAAAGATTTAAACTTCCTATAATGTTTTGAAAACTAGTGGTTAAGGAGAAAGAAGAAATACAATTCAGTGCTCCTTTTTCCAAAGAAGTGACAACAGGGCAAACTCAGGGACCATCTCACCTGTCTGGTCTCCAGCCAGCTCTGGGGCTCACCAAACACTACAAACATCCTACTGAACAAGCCATGGCTGCCTTCCCCAATATTACTTGAGCAGCAAGCAGGATTGTAGTTTATGTAAACAAGGTGATATCTCTTCAGGAAGCCTGAGCATGCTCTACAGGCTCCTGCTATCTGCACGATCCCTTCTTTGAAGGCTGGACTCATGTGACAAGTGATGGTTGGCCAGTCCAGCTGGCAGAGCCTGGCTGTGCACATACCACTGGGGCCTTAAGTGATGTGCAACCTTAGCAGGCACGTGTTAGCTGGAACCCTGTGATGTATTGCATTTGGCTTAGAATTAGCAAAAATCTAGATATTACATACTTTCCCACATCTAATGCTATGAAACCCCTTTGCTCCGTTGTATTTTACTGCACAGAGGTTTGTGTGATGGTTTTCCAGAGAGGTCTACAATAAATTGTTTGCTTGGTAAACAAAAAAAAACCCCAACATACTAACTTGTAGCTGAAATGAGGGGGAAATGATAATCATAGAACAGAATCAGAGCCCTGTCCACCCTGAACTTGAGTGTTTCCAGGGATGAAGCTTCTACTACCTCTCTGGGCAACTTGTGCCAGTGTTCCATTATCTTTACTGTAAAAAATTTCTTCCTTCTACCTGGCCTAAATCCCAACTCATTTACTTTAAAAACATCACCCCTTGTCCTGTTATAACAGGCCTTGCTGAAAAGATAGTCCCTGTCTTTCTTATAGGCTCCCTTTAAGTACTGAAAGGCTGAAATTAAGGTCTCCCTGAAGCCTTCTCTTCTCCAGGCTGAACAACCCCAACTCTCTCAGCCTTTTCTTATAGGAGAGGATTTCTGTGGTCTTCCTCTGGACCCACTCCACCAGGTTCATGTGTTTCTTGTGCTGAGGACTCCAGAGCTGGACACAGCACTTGAGGCAGGTGCTCACGAGAGCAGAGCAGAGGGGAGAATCCCCTCCCTTGACCTCCTGGCCACACTATTTTGATGCAGCCCAGGGTACACAGTTGGCTTTCTGGGCTGCACTCACATATTGTTGGCTCATGTTGAGCTTTTCATTAACCAGCACCCACAAGTCTTTCTCCTTAGGTCTGCTCTCAATCCATACTCCACCCAGCCTGTATTTGTGCTTGGGATTTCCCTGATCCAGTGGCAGGACCTTGCACTTGGCCTTGTTGAACCTCATGAGGTTGAATAATAATAAATAATGAGCATAATGCCACAATTAATTAGTAACACACACAAGCTGTTGTGATGTCTAGTATGAGTATCAGCTTACCTTGGATTTCAGAAACGTGATGGCTTTGCTGTTGTTTTCTAAGAAATGCACTCTCATTTTTCCCCTGTTTGGTCTGGGCAAAGCTTCTCCAGAGAGCAGCTCCAGAAGTTGCATAAGGGAGATGCCATCCTTCAAGTCTGTGTAAATATCTTCTATCTCAATCTTTACCTGCAAAGAGCAGTCAGGCAAATACAGACCCTGCCTGAACATTTGGTCCAAAGAACCCTCTACTTCTAATACTAAACAACCAAACAGCTTCCTGCTGTTTCACTGAGAGTTCTGTATCAGTGCTTGTGTGTGGAAAGTGATGAATCTTAATACAGAAAAAAGGGATTTGCAGAAGGACTGACATTATCAAAGTAGGCTGAAGTAAAAAAAAAAACCAAAGCAGTCCAAAACTGAGCAAAAAAAAGAAAAAAGCAGATTTTGAAAAATAATTTTTAAACCTTTTATTCTGAGCAACACATTTATATTAAAAATTGAGCTGATAATCCCATTCAATGTCTCAACGAAGTCTGTTATGTCCTGCCTAGAGCTGCACTACCACCCAAAGTCTCCATATAGAAGTATGCCAGAGTCTCACACTAAGCAAAAGATTAAGATCTTTAACAAAAATGTATTTCATTGCTGCCAGCAGTGAGGTCACCCAGTGCTTAGGTGATACAACATGACACAGTGTGTACTCTGACCTAACAAGAACTTGCCTTGGGTGTTTCCTTCTGGCCACTAGCCATCAAGAATTGACATTAAAACCATGCCACACACCCAGCAATAATTGACCAAGATTCTGAAATCATGGTAAATACTCTTTTTGTCCTCAGAAACAAACAAAAAAGCCCAAAACAATTCTGAAGTTAAGTAGCAGCTTTGTAAATTCAGGTAATAGTTACATGTAGGGGAAAAAAAAGGCCAAGTAACAGACACGTGCTTTTTCATTCCTGACTAATTATCAATCACTTTAACAGACCTTTTCTCCAGAGAAAGAAGAAAATACTGAAAGTGTCAGAGCAACTCAGATAAACTTTAAGTCTATAATCTGTGTGGAACAAGAATTTACAAAGTTCTCTGACTGATTACATACAAGAAAAATCCCAATTTAGGTGCCAACTTAATTTCTTTTTGCATGTTAATATTTGTATATTACCATAAAAAAGTTAAAGCTGTTATATTCTGTGGCCTTTATATAAATGAAGAATAGTTCCATTTAAATTCATAAAGACAGTCTTCCTCTATCTGCTCTATGCCTCACCCAGCATTAGTTTTAAATAGCTTTGTTGCATCATTCTTCTCAAAGATACCAATCACAGATTGCTTAACAAATTCAATCCAACAGCATCCTTAGTGCCAGACTCAAAGCAGTCAAGAGTGCAGCTGGGAATGCTGCAGTGTCCTGGAGTATAACCCAACCACCTTACAGTGTGTGTTGAAAAGCTGAGACCACATTGCTGAGAAGACCTAGATAAGCTGTCAGTCTCTGCACCATTTCTTACCATATATGGTTTGGAAAGCTCTCACAGGGTTTTTTCCCCAATGCTTTTATGATACATGAACAAGTACCGTGCAGGAAGTTAAGGCTGACATTTTAATCTTTGAACTTGAAGGTGTTTTTGAAATGAGAAAGTACATACATAAACAGAAATCATTTCCTACACCATAAAAACTGAATTTTCTGCAAGTGGCAAAATGAGAATTTGTTCTTCTCTCACAATAAGAAAAAGAAATTTAGATGTTTGTTGTGCTCTGAGGCTACTTAAAATATTACACTGAAAAAAAAGCATCTAGTACTGAAACATCACAGAGCAGTGATGAGCTGCAATATCAACTACAGGCTCCAGAAGAGGGAATTGGGTTTGGATGATGTGACTCCTTCCTGTGTCACAGCTACAACATTTGTGCCTGAAATTAGTTTATTTGCAGTAAGTCTGGAGACTTTTGGAATACATTGGAGTTGCCTTGAACACACAAATCATCTGTATGCTACCTCTGAAGCTTTTTTGAAGGTCTGAGACATACTGAAAACAAATTGGTCCATACTTGCATGGTAGTATGTCTAACATTGCTTGACTTAAGGCAACTTTTTCAGAGCCATTGAGCAGCAACTCAAGCTGGACTGTTCATATTTTGTCCAGGCAGTTGAGAGTTGAGCATTGTTTGGGGAAATCTAGACATTTGCAGATACTTTACTCATAGGAAAAAGAAAATAAAGGTCTTCCTCTGAGCTGATCAGCAAGATACAGTAGACATCACAATATGACAGGTATATACAGTCTACAAAAGTAAACCCTGATTTCAGGGAATAGTGGTAACATGGACAATGGAGACAGATGCAAGGTAAAAAATACAGGCTGGAGCACTCTGGTTAATCAAAGCATTCCTTGCTGATATATGTGTCATCAACACTCAGGGAAAATAACATGAAAGAATAATACAGTGGGTGAAATAAACATAAACCAGAAAAAAAACAAAACCAGATTGAAGGAGCTACTTACATTATTCCTTAAGAAGATGTTGTTCATCCAGTTGGTGAAGGTTTTCTTCTGCATGGACATACGCTGCTCCTGCAGCTTTTTGATGTGATCTTTTTCAAATTCAGAACTCATGGTCAACAGTCACCTAGAAGAGAGAAACTCCAGTGAGGTGGTCAGTGCAGAAAAGACCTGCCTGGCCAGCTCCAACAGCAGTAACATGCCCAGTTTGTGTAGGCAATCCAGCCCCAATGGGTACAAGATTCAATACCACACCCTGTATAATACCTTAATTTCCCTATGCTTGTACTTTGCACTTTAATTTCACTCAACTTTATTTTTAGCTTAGTTGAGTTCTCCCTTTTAAATCACATCTCTAATTGTGGGATGCAAATGTGATCTGTATCTATGCAGCTTTACTTTCATTTAATCTCTCCCCAGTCACTTTATCCCATGAGGAGCACCATGATCTGAAAGCCATCAATAGCTTCCTTGGGTGAACTGGAAGCACATGACAGAGAACTGATCTTAGATCCTGTCAGAAAGAGGGATCTCCAAATCTCTTTCAAGGCAGTGCTCGGAAGTGTTTCAGTTCTCTGAAGCTTGTTTGAGGTGCTGCTGTTGGCTTTTAGATCACAGCATTTCCAGAAGGAATCAGATAGCTGCTCAGAGAGGAAATGGAATAATCTTGGTTCTTTCCTCTCACAAGCTCAGTTCTTGCATATCTGTCACCGTAAGGATGGTGACACAGGCCCACAACCACATGGACAAGTCCTAGGGTGGGCGTTGGGAAGTGTTATCCCTTTACCCTAGCCTGTCACTGACTTGTCTGCCTCATCCAAATCAGGGAAAAACTCAGGCTTGTAATTCATCACAGCACCCAAGCTAAACATTCAGGAAGATTAGAAAGGAGGAGACTTCCCTTTAGAGTCCCTGACACAAAAAAAAACTCCATTTCAGCTCAACTGAACAGCTCTTTTGGAGTCATTTGGTTTATGGTGTAAATCTGTAACAGCAGTGACCATGCTGTTAGAAAGGCAAGAGAAACAACTTAAAAAAACCCCAAAACCAACCCTCAGTGGAAGACCCACAGCTACAGACACCTTTGTGATGAAAACATCATCTGCTGGGACTACTGCCACAATTATAAGTATTACCTGGATAACAGCCCAGCAGAGAAACCAAAAAACCTGTTGTAATGGTGAAAGAGGAGAGATGGGTCGATGGGTCTGCTGCTGTCAGTCCACAACAAGGAGAGAAGGGACTGAAAAATTAAAACCTCTGACAAACAGTGGAGGTGTGGAGCAGGGTGATCTGCTTCCCAAATATTCTGTGTCCATTTTGCAAAAACTCAGCCCATAGCTATTCTGAGCTCTATGCCCTTTTAATTCATCAAACATGGAATACTGAATAAAAAAACATGATCTGTCCTCCTAAGGTAAGAATACAGCAGTAGGCAGCTAGCAACAGCAGCCACTGCAAATGGGAAGTTGCTTGCCTGGCAGTTTTCTGTGTTCTAATAAACATGAAGAATTTTGCTCTTTTACAGGATGAAAAAGTGAGGGAAGTGCAGAAACAATGATTTTTTACTCATTTTCTTTTTTTTTTTTAATTTTATTTTGTTTTCAGATGTTTCTTAGCCTCCAGTGCTTGACTTCTACAAAACAGGGGCAGCATTGAAGCCTGACTGCTCAGCAACAACACAGGGAAAGCTCATGACCATAGATGAAAGCTTTATGAAAGGAAGAACTGAGCAAAGTTTGAAATAGAACTAAAAAGAAGATGCTTGCAATATTTTCTTATCTCTTGGTCTAGTTCAGCACTGCCTACTTTCTCCATCTGGAGTGCAGATATTAAAAAAAATTGCCTTTCTGTGCCAGAGGGGTGATATTAACTCACTCCCACATAATCAACCCATCCAGTTAACCCATATAATAGTATCATTTCTGAATTTTCCAAATGGTTCTCAGAATATCTGGAGGCTCCTTTTTTCAAAGGGGTTGTTATCCAAGCATTGCAGCCACCCTGGACAATAACTGAACTGATTTCATTTAGGTGCAAAGGAAGCTTATTTGTTGAACTCCTTTCTCACACAACAGCTCACCTGTTTCATTAAAGTCAGTTAGAAATGCTTAAGTTAGATGATTACCTGAAGACAGACCTGTAATAGATTGTCTGCATTTGGAGGACACAAAGGCAGTGCTAAAAACCAAGTCTGACTATAATGATACGTTACAGAAAGAAAGATCAAAGAACATGGAAAAAAAAGAAAAACTTACTCAGGCTTGGAGGAACTCCTTTCTGACATTCAGCAGCTGGTGAGTCTGGAGAATGACTTTCAGTTGTAGACCCACTCCTATTCCTATGTTCAGCTCGTTGTTTCCATGTAAAGTGACCTTTGAATTCAGGAACAGAGACCAAGTATTTATGATCTACCTCTGAACTTTTCATCTGATCTAAAGGAAATAACCCATCAGAACACAATGAGTAAAGGTTGTCCCAGGCCTTATCCAGTTCTTACCCTCAAAAAATAATGTATGAATGGCACCAAACTTGCTATGAAGCAGTTAAAATAGTCATCCACCATGCTGAAGGTTTGGTAAAGAGCATCTTTCACAATTGTATTGCAGGCTCTGACTGATCACAGGCTGCTTTTCTAGTGGAATTCTTACCTGGGAAATTGAACCTGACCAAAGAGTCTGAAAATGAAAGAACAGCAGGGGGTACAAAGATCAGAGCAATTCCCAAGTGGTGAAGCTGGGATACAGCAAACGAGAAGGTGAAATAGTGAAGTGTTAGGAATTTGTTAGTCATGGCCTTGAGAAAGCTCATGTGCACAGATACCTGTGGCTGGCAAAACAAACTGGGATCAAGCTGGCAGGGCCAGCTTCTTCCAAAGTTTACTATTGATGGACTTCTTGTTAATAATGAAGGGAAAATAGTTCTGGTAACTTATATAGCAGTGAGTCCTTTCTGTCACTTACAAGGTTGCACAAGCACAGAACACACTGACCTGGCATCATTGTGAGGAACCAGAGGGTTGCTGCTGTGAATCATTGCTAGAAAAAGGGCAGGCATCTGCCTTCTGAATCAGAAGCTCTGAGTGAAGATGTTCAGAGATGAGGTAAGGGGAGAGCAGTCTTTTCCCTTCTGGCAAGCCTAGTTTAGTTAGCATCCAAAAGTGATGGGAGGAAATACATAAGAAGAAATGAACAAACTCCCTCAAAAATCAGTAAAAATAAAACTTGATAAACAAAATCTGTATCTTTATACACTCCCTAGAGAAAAGTCATACACAGTGGCACATAAGACAGCTAAAAATAATTAAAATAAACCCCAACATATGTTACAGGTATTACTTGAAATATTCCCTAAAAATTCCTACACTTCTGTTCACCAGCCAACGAATGCAATGTAATTCTTAATGAACATTAAATAGGATGCCAGGAGAAAAGGGATATAAATTCAGCATCTGTTTACATCTCTTCTGTAAGCTCATTGCCTAGCTACAATTCCACTCTTCTCTGTGTTGCTTTTAGTTACAGCCACATTCTTCCAAAGGTAGGATTATAGGTTGTTGGATTCAATTTAGTGAAGGCTGGCTAGGTTTTGTGTGCTGGGAAAATGTCCTTGCTCCTGTCACATAAAAGGCAGAGGACCAGTAGGTGAATGGGCCCTGGATGCAGGCATTGCTCCCTATAGCAAGTTAATTATTATCTAAACGACTAAACGTGTGAAACACCAGCTTTGCTCGTTATGATGATACAAGGCTATCAAAGGTCTGCTATAAGATTTCACTAACTCCTGAATATGTATCTCCATTTGTAGTATCTATCTACAGTTCAAAGCTAAAACAGTGGACGTTTATGTGACACTGATAAACAAAGCCATTGTCTCAGTTATTTATAGCCTCCCAAGGTAAGGGGAAGGGCACCACAGTATTTGTCTGGACTTTCCTGGAGGGACCAGGAAAAAGATCACCCCTCCAGGCTAATTTTGGGCCCTCTCTTGCTGACTTTGCAGAGAAGAGGAGACTTGCCACTGAAGTCAGGATGGAGAAAGGCCCAAAGAGCACCTGCCACTTGCCCTGTTTTTGAGTCTGAAGTGTTCTTCCACGATGGTATCAGCATTTTCTTGTTTCTTAACAGGAAGGACCCAGACAGGGGATTCCCTTCTGCAAAGTAACAGCCAGGTAAGACATATCAGGGTTTTTTTAGCACCCTTTCTTATCTGCCCACAACCTTGTTCTGCTTAAGAGGGAAACAGAGACAGCAGAGGCCAAAGAGACCTCACTCCCAAAGCTCCTCTGCCCTCAGCTCTCCCCCCACTGCTCTTCCACTCCTGGCAACAGCATCTAACACAAAGAGGAATCTGACACTTCCTTTCTACCTATTAGAATTTTGATTTTTGAAATACAGTCACCCTTTTCCTCCCATAACATGTATGTGAATTCCCAGCTCCCCTCCAAAGTGGAAAGAAATGTTTCATTCCCTGTCACAAAGAGCATAAAAGCTACAGACAGGGAGTTTGCTGCTCCCACTCCCACCCCTGCCCTGAGTGCCCTGATGAAAGTCCTGTCTGATCTCTGCTAAGGAGAAGGTTCCTTAAATCTCAAAGAAAATAAAGACGTTAAGTGCAAACATGTGCACGACAGCTCAGCCCTCTACTCCCCCACTGTGTCTCTCCAGCCATGTTGCTTCCAGATGCAAGAGTCCCAAAACAATGGACCTCTGGGCCCTGACTCTGGGGGAGGAAGGCAGCGTCCCCTCAGGGCCATGGTCCCACCGTGTGCCCAGGAAGCACAGAGATCAGCCTGGGCCCACAGGTAGCTCTCCCCTGATGCTCAGCCCCATCCAGGCGGTGTGGACACAGGTGAGATGAGCCATGATCCCAGCATATCTCCTAAGCACATCTTGAATGACAGCAAATCTTAGACTTAGGGTGGCAGAGAGGAGCTACGCCTTGGATACTGAGAACACCGGCGAGCAGCAGGCAGCAATTACTGCAAGAAGCTGTTTGCTCATTTGGCATACTAAGGCTGAATAAAAGTTGGTGAGTTAGTCAAAAGTATCTCAGGAGAGGCACACAGACCTCAACAGATACCCTGCTTACACAGGCCTCTCACCTGAACTTTG